ATGGCCATCCCTTCTGGGGGGGTGTGATTTCTTGCTCTCTGTCTCTCTGTCTCTCTCTGTCATTGTGGTGAGCACACACACCCTATAGCAAAAATATCTAATATATATATATATGTGTGTGTGTGTGTGTGTGTGTATATATGTTTACATACACTGTTCTGATCTAATTTCACCGCACAACCATATTTGAGCAGAGAGAAGGCTAATAATGCTTTCACCACTCGTATGGACATCGATAGTAATTCCTGACTGGCAGCAATTTTAATGCGTTTGACTAGGACTCATTGCTACACATATTGCTAGGGATGTTCTACCTTAGTTGAGTTTTCACTGTATTCCTTTCTAAAATCTGGAAAATTCTGAAACAGCACTGCCCAGAGGTTTCAGATGAGCGATTATGGATTTGTATTTAGAGAGCTCTTAGTCTTGACATCTGCAAATACCATTTACTGTAGGAATTGAATCTTTTTCTTAAAAAGTTTATTTTATTCATGATTCAGAGTGCACATCCATGAGGGAGAGAGAGAGAGAAACCCTCAACAAGATCTTAACACCCTGTGAACCCCTTTCCCTAGCCTTCCAGCTTGCCAGGATCCTGGGCTTGCGTGCACATGGCCAGCATGTTTTCAGGCCGACTTGGGGATCTGAACTCACAGTCAGTCAAGTAGCTTCTGGCGCTGTCATTCAGTTTGCTACTGACTGGGTCATTAGGTTGGGCTGAAACTGAATCCTTATCTCAGTTTCACCAAGAAGTCTTTGCTTCTCTCTAACTTGTCTTTTCAAATTCTGTTGTCTGCTTCCACAGCTCCGTGGGGAGCGGTGGGCTCAGGCCACAGCCCTTTCTCCTGCCTGTGCTGGCAACTCTTTGTTGGAATTCTAAGTCTGACTATGTCTTTGTGAGGAAGAGTTACTTTCGTAGGGGTCTCAGGCATAAATAGATTCTCCCATTACGGAGGCCTTAATGGGTCCCTGTAACCCTTGCTGTGAACCCTTGCTCCAGGAGTGGGAGCTCAGAGGTTTTCCACTTCACATTCACAGTGGTGTCCATTTCCCAATGAGGCTCATATTTAAAATGTGAAGATCAACCATCTCAAGACAGGAGGACCTGGAAATCTGGTTTGAAGCAGAGTATTAGTGCTTCAGATCAAATATTACATCATTGGTGACTTTGTTTAGCACTGGAATTAATCAGTTAAAAATAGGTTTTTAATTAAACAAATGCCAAGCTGAAGCCATGCTGGGTAATGCTATTCCTCTATTTTTTTCACATCAGTTTAGTTGCTTTGATTATACAAATTGCCCGTTTTTGGCAGGCTATTTGATTGTTTTCTATAATTAAAATGTCATACAATATTGATTAAAAATATCACACATGTCAGCTTTCCAAGTTTTCCACTGTTTGAAATAATTTCAGAAAGGGAACTTTGATCCAATGTCTACCCAGTGAATATCACTGAGGGCCTATTATACAGGGCCACAGAGATGTACAAGGGTCACAGAGATGAATAAGAAACAGCTCCCATTTTTAAGATATTTATAAATTAGGGGACCAGCAGTTAGCGTAATGGCTATGTCGCTGGACTCCCATGTAGTCGACTGCGGTTCGCGTCCCGGACCCGGTGGCTTAAAACTCACACCGGGCGCATGTGCATGCGTGCCCAAGATCCCGAGAGAAGAATGGAGGAGAGGGGATTGCGGCGTGACCATCCCCCCTGGGGGGTGATTTCTTGCTTTCTGTCTCTATGTCTCTCTCTGTCTGGCGAGCGCACGTGCCCTATAGTGAAAACTTCTCAAAAAAAACAAAAACTAAGGGAAAATATTAAAAAGATATTTAAAATTAGTCAAAGGAAGAGACATATTAAAACTCATATTAATACTAAAATTGGAGGATGTAAATGTTGTGTAAGGTACAAAAACTTAGTCTTTTAGTCCATGAAAGATAGTATCTATCATTTGACCACTGGTTTAGCCCCAGTGGATCTGAGTCTTGAAGCTTCAGAATCAAAATAAGTGTCTGGTTTGCTTATATTCACACTTAACATTTTCCATTAGTAGGCAGGATGAAAACCTGAAAAGATCTCTAAGGATTCTAGTTCCAGCCCTGCCACTACTTTGTCACTTAAAAATATCCCACCAGAGTCAAAAGGGAAGGCTTGCTAAAAGAAGAGAATGTGTGGGGTCAGCAGGTGGCGTAGTGGTTAAGGTGCTGGACTCCCACACGGCTGACCATGATGCAAGTCCTGAACCCAGTGGCTTGAAACTCACACTGGGCATGTATACGTGCATGCCTGAAATTCTGAGAGGAGAATGGAGGAGAAGGGATTGCAGCATGGCCATCCCCCCAGGGGGTGATTTCTCACTGTCTGTCTGGCAAGTGCTCATGCCTCATAGCAAAAATAGCTCAAAAAATAGTAGAGACTGTGGCCTCGCTGTGGTGCTGCAAGTGGGAGAACACTGTGGGGGATGGCTATGGCTGCACGAGAGGCCTGGGTTCAATTCCAGCTATAGCTTGAGCCAGGCCAGGTGCCTGTGTTCCGGCCAACTGGGAGGCTGGGGCAGGGGGATTGAGGCATGGTGAGATACCCTCAGAAGTGCCTTTCATTCTCTCCCTCCCACTCATTAACTCTCTCTCATGAAAGAAGGAGAAGGAGAAAAAGAAGAAGAAAAGGAGGAGGAGGAGGAGGAGGCAAGTATGTTGTTAGCTTTCATAGTGGGAAATACAGAGATGGGTTCCTACAGACGTTGGCACTCCCTGTTAGCGCCGCTTCACAACACAGAGGTTAAGGTCAGTATGGATCTGAACCCAAGTCAAGCTCCAGATCGGCAATGTTAAGCTCTGCTCGTTACTCCCTGAGTACATCTGCTTTGGCAGGGGTGATAGCAGAATCAGCCAGCTGACCCCCCACTTATTAAAGGATGACTTGGGATGGACATGAAACATTTACTGTTTTTAAAGGGCAATGACCACATATACTTTTTTGGCATTTGAATGTTGGAGACTAAGTGGAACTTACACATCCCATTCTCTGAAAGCATATAAAGGAAACAGAGTGGACTCCATGGGGCACTTTACCCAATATTCTTTGAGGATTTGGAAGCAGAATGTATATTTCACAACACACACACATGCACTCACACATGCATGCACACACATATACTTTCTAACACTCATATTTAGATACCTCTCCTTCTCCCACTCTCCTTCTCCCACAATTTTAATCTTTTTTTCTTTCTTTCTTTCTTTTTTTTTTTTTAGAGGTTTTTTGCTATAGGGCGCATGCGCTCTCCAGACAGACAGAGAGAGACAAGGAGACAGAAAGCGAGAAATCAACCCCCAGGGGGGATGGCCACATCACAATCCCTTCTCCGTTCTCCTCTCGGATCTTGGGCATGCATGCACACGTGCCTGGTGTGAATTTTAAGCCACTGGGTCCAGGACATGAACCACAGTCGACTACATGGCAGTCCAGTGACATAGCCATTACACTAACTGCCGGTCCCCCACAATTTTAATCTTCACAGCTCTATCTTCACTCCCTTTCCTGTCCCACCCTCTCACCTATAGTTCACACGCTGTCCTTCATACCCCAGACTAGTTCTCCTCTCTACTCTTCAGTAGTCACTTGGTCAAGCTTACCTTACTTTCCATTCCCTGCGTTTCTTCTTAGGGTATCTCGTAACTCTTTTTACCTTTGTTCCTCCTTTCTTTCTTTCTCTCTCTCTCTCTCTCTCTCTCTCTCTCTCTCTCTCTCTCTCTCTCTCTCTCTCTCTCTCTCTCTCTCTCTCTCTCTCTCTCTCTCTCTCTCTCTCTCTCTCTCTCTCTCTCTCTCTCTCTCTCTCTCTCTCTCTCTCTCTCTCTCTCTCTCTCTCTCTCTCTCTCTCTCTCTCTCTCTCTCTCTCTCTCTCTCTCTCTCTCTCTCTCTCTCTCTCTCTCTCTCTCTCTCTTCCTTTCTTTCTTATTTTTCTTTCTTCTTTTTCTCTTTCTTTTCTTCCTTCCCTTTTCTCTCTTTCCTTCTCTCTCTCCCTCTCTCTCTCTCTCTTTTGGTAGAGGTTTTTGTCTTAGGACATGTGTGCTCATTGGAGAGAGAGAGAGACAGAGACAGAGACAGTGAGACATAAAGTGAGAAATCACCCCTCAGAAGAAAAGGCCATGCTGCAATCCCTTCTCCTCTTGGGATCTTGGGCACACATGCACTCATGCATGCTCAGCATGAGTTTTAAGCCACTCAGTCCGGGACTCAAACCTCAGTCAGCCAAGTGGTAATCCAGCACCATAACTGCTTCACCATCTGCTGGTCCCTCTATGCTCTTTGTTATGTGGAAAGATTCAGCCTTAGATTTCCCCATGTCTCCTCTCCACCTCAGGTACACATTTGTTCTAACAAAGGCAAATACTTGGGTTCTTGTTATAAGTGTGTCATTAAGATTTTGGACTATGTCAATGTGACTTGCTTATGCTTGAAAATGCTTTTCCAGAAAAAGTAAGGATGTAAACCAATAAATAACTCAACAATTTGCTTCAGGAAATTCCTACATATATTACATATTAATAGATTGCTTGCTTGCCTGGGAAAAATCTTATTAACCACAATTTATGTACTAAAGACTGTTGTTGTGCTGTGTCTACCAACTTCTACTACTATATAAACTTTAAATCTCTATTTTAATATATACAATAAAGCTTTTAACATCATACAATAAAGTTTAATTTTTGTATTTTATATATCATATGTGTTATATATAAAAATAAAAGTAAACAAATTTTTCACTGCTAGAGGGGAAGTGTGCTTGCCAGAGAGAGAGAGAGAAAGCAACTCCCAGTGGGGTGTGCTCACGCAGCAATCCTTTCTCCTCTGCTGCTGGGCAAGGGTCTGCACCTCTGAGTTCTCACTTATCACCTCCCACCTTTCTCTCTGTCATGTCCTTCCTGCATCACTGCACCGAGCTCATCCCTCCCTGGTAGCTCTTCTTCTTCTTCTTCTTCTTCTTCTTTTGTTTTTTTGTAGAGAGAGATTTTTCTCTAAGATGTGTACGCCTGCCAGTCAGAAAGAAACAGAGAGACAGAAAGTGAGAAATCACCCTCCCCCGAGGGGAGCAGGATGGCCATGCCCCAATCCCTTCTCTCAGGATCTTGGGCACGTATGCACACGTACCCGCCATGAGTTTTAAGCCACCAGATCCTGGACTTGAACCACCGTGAACTACATGGGAGCCCAGTGATGTGACATCATCTGCTGGTCCCCCATCACTCCCTGGTAATTCTCGATGTTATGCATTCCACAGAATCAGGGCAGGAATTCTCATCTCTGATTTCTCAGAGCCATTCTCAGAGGAATGCAAGGTCCCTGCAAGTCCGTATGGGAAAAGAAGGCAAGAGGGTGAAGGGTAGGGAAGCAAAGGGAGAGAGAGAGAAGACTAAGAAGGGTAGGTGGGCCTGGTACCTCCTAGTGTGTATCAACACAGTATAAATCATCGCATGTTAAGCGTGGAGTCATGACTTTCAGTAGAACCTTCTTGTTTAACCCATAAAACCTGGAAAACTTGCCTGAAGTTCTGAACCATGATCACTCAATGTTTAAAAAGAAAAGTTAACTGGAAAAAAAAATTAGGTAATCTGCTGTCCCTTGAAGAGTTACACTACCAGAAAGAAGAGAGGCCGATATCACTGGAGAGAATAAAAAAATGCTAGCATAAGGTTTTAGTACATTATGTGACAAATAATTAAGTTTTTTTAGAGGATTTTGCCTTAGGGCACATGCGGTTGCCAGAGACAGAGACAGTGAGAGGAAGAGTGAAAACTCACTGCCCGGGGGGATGGCCACAATCGCTTCTTCTCCATTCTCCTCCTGAGGTCTTGGGAACACATGCACACATGCCTGGTGTGATTTTTCAAGTCATCAGATCCAGTACTCAAACCATGATCAGCCATGTGGGAATCCAGCGATGTAACCACTACGCCATCAACTGGTCCCTAAATAAGTAATAATTATTATTTCAAAAAATTATTTTGAAAATAGGGCCAGCAGGTGGCATGGAGATTAAAGTGCTAAATCCCAGATGGTTGACTGTTCGGTTAGAATCCTGACCTGGTGGCTTGGGGACACAGTGGGAGCATGTGTGTTCCTGTGTAGGGTTCTGGGAGGAGAGTGGAGGAGAGGAGATTGCAGTGTGACCAGTTCCCCTAGGGGTTGATTTCTCATTTTCCCTCTCTCTGGCTCTCGCCAATGAGTGTACATGCCCTACAGCAAAAGTAAAATAAAAAGTTAAACAGTTTATCTATTTTTATTTTTCAGGGAGAGTGAAAGACACCTCCAACAGAGTCTTTACGTTGCAATCCCTTCCAGTCTCACGTGGTCCAGGTCATGGACACATATGTGCATGCTTGGTATGTTTAGAGGGTGCTGGCCCTGAGCATGAGACATGTGGGTCCAGCTGAACCCCTGCTGCACCATCACCCAGCCCTGATGAAAAATAACCGAGTGTATTGTGTACCAGGTAACAGCAATGGAAGCGGTTTCACCCTTTTTTCCTTTAAAGTTTATTAATAAGAGAACATTGTGAGGGATCATTATATTGTTAAGTAACTTGCAGACTGTTTGCAACTGCGTGTCAATTTCGGTGGCCATGGTCTGAAACTACAGCAACGTGTGTGAGAATTTACATCCACAGACTGGCTCCATGTCCTCATCCCCTGTACCTCTCACTTCTAACATACGGCATTGTGGGGGCTAATAATGAACTTCATTCATAATGGAGAAATTTCTTAATGACTAATACGTTGCAGTCAGTCTTGCTGATCATTTTGGAGGTTTATAACCCTTGGAAATTACTTGGGAAGTTGCACTGACTTACTATAGATGGAAATGCGCTTCTCTTCCTGCCTGTGCGCACAGAATTTATGCTGCATTTGCAAAACTGAACTGTGGTATGAAGTGCTCTATGATATGTTTTAATTACAAGAGAACAGGCCATTCACTCTTCTCAATCACTTGCTATGGAATTTGTGTAGTGTCAGCAGATGATAACTCTATCTTCTATTTTGTTAGACTGGTAATCTGTGCTCCAATCATACGATCCTCATCAGCATGAGAAAGACTACTAGAATCCATTTTTTTTTCTTTTAAGAATTATCTTATTTAATTTTATTTATTTAAATTTGACCAGAGAGGGACAAAGTGAGAGAGAGAGAAAGTGAGAAAACAAGGCACCAGGTATGGAACTTGAACCACGGTTGGCCATATGGGAGTCCAGCATTCTTAACCACCACGCCATGTGCTGGCCCCAGAATCCATATATTTTATTCTTACATGAATTACTCTGCCAAGAAGAAGTAAAGGACAGAGGAATTAGAAAACGCAAACCAGAAAGCATTAATAAGAAGACATGTGAAGCTCTGTGGAGGGGAACAAGAGGGGCAGGTGGCATGAAACAGCAGAAAATGCAGGAATCGTGCTCAACTGGGAAGTTCCACATGTGAAAGAAATAAGTGAGGGAAGCAGAAGAGGCCACTACTTAAGGGAAATGAGGTGGCGTGTCTTAAAGGGAGTCTGCATGGAACAGGGGGTGAGTTGGCATCATCTCCTGGCTGCCCTGAGTTGAGGTTGATCAATGGGCAGCTGGGGTGTTTGAATTGGTGGAGCGGTGCTTCAGGAGCACCCCAACTCCTTCAACCCCGCGCTGCCCAGTGCTGCTCCTGTGGAACCATAGAGGGAGGCCCACAGGAGCATGGGGCTCCCCTCCAGCAATTAAGCCTGAGCAAATCCCATGCAACGAGCTGAGGTGATTATTGGACTTGTAGATAGAGGCTGGGCAAAAGGAAGATCAAGCCATGATTAGAAGCTGGGGACTATCAGTCCCACTCACATCCTCTGGGAAAATGAGAGGGGTTGGTGCTTTGGTTAAGAATTAATCGTGTCTATGTGATGAAGTCTCCCTAAAAAGTCCATGACCAGTGGGGATTGGAGAGCTTCCAGCTGGTGAACACATCCATGTGCAGGGATGACACATACCCAACTCCACCAGGCCAGAGTGCCTGTGCTCCAGACCTTTCCAGACTACAACCTTTGTATCTCCCCATCTGACTATTCATTTGCATCCTTTCAAATTGCTTTTGTGGAACCAGCAGATGGTGTAGTGGTTATGTTGCTGGACTCCCACATGGTTGACTGCAGTTTGAGCCCTGGATCCAGTGGCTTGAAAATCACACTGGCACGTGCATGCAAGATGGTGGGAGAAAGGAGGGGAAGGGATTGCAATAGGGCCATGCCCTTGGTGGGGGCGGGGGGAAGGGATTTCTCACTTTCCCTCTCATTGTCTCTGTCTCTCTCTGGTGAGTGCATGTGCCCTAAGGCAAAAAAAAAAAAAAACTCTTTAAAAAAATTACCTTTGTAATAAATCGGCATAGTGACTAAATGGTTTTCCTGGATTCTGTGAGCCATACTAGCAAATGGCTCTCTTCAAACCCAGAAGAGAGCTGTGGGAACCTCTGGCTTATAGTCCAATCAGGCAGAAGTGGGTAACCTGGGACCTATGACTACTTGCAAGTGACATCTTTAGTCGAGGAAGGTCTTGCAGGATGAGCTTTTCTTTTTTATTTATTATTATTTCTTTTTAGAGAGGTTTTTGCTATAGAGTGTACACATACACTGGAGAGACAGAGAGAAAGACAGAAAGTGAGAAATCACCCCCCCAGGGGAGTTGGCCACACCGCATTTTGTTCTTCTCCATTCTCCTCTCAGGATTTTGGGCACACATGCACAACACACCCAGCATGAGTTTAAGCTGCCAGGTTTGGGATTTGAACCACAATTGACTACGTGGGAGTGCAGCGACATAACCATTCTGCCATCTGCTGATCTCATAGGATAAGCTCTTAACCTGGGTGTCTTGCACTAACTCATTCTAGTTAGCATCAGAATTGAATAAAATTGTGGGGAACCTGGCTAAGACCCAGAGAATTGGTCAGTGTGCAGAAAAACACAAACATCTGGTCACAGAAAGGTGCTGAGTATAAGTGTTGGTTCTTCCTGTCTTACGTAGTCTGGGGATGGGCCCCAAGTGGTGACTCAAATGTTTCCTCAAATTCAGGAGCCATTTAGGACCAGTTCAGAGGGCCCCAACTTTTACTTTACACTAGAACCACTCAAGGAACTTTAAATAAACACTCTGTTCAGACTCTGTCTTGTACCATTTAAGTCAGACTCTTTAGGAAGGTGTCAGACATGGGCATTTTGAAAAAGCCTCATAGGTGACTTGAATGTGATGCCAAAATGGAGACTCACTGCTGTAGATCCTAATGTGGCTGCAGTAGCTCAGACTTAACATTCTCAGAGAGAAGTGACAAGGAGGTGCATTCCAAACTGTAGATCCTAATGTGGCTGCAGTAGCTCAGACTTAACATTCTCAGAGAGAAGTGACAAGGAGGTGCATTCCAAACTGTAGATCCTAATGTGGCTGCAGTAGCTCAGACTTAACATTCTCAGAGACAACTGACAATGAGGTGCATTTCACAAAGAATGGCACCTGCCTAGTGATAATTTAGGAGAAAATATTTGGCATTTATTACATTTTTATAGGAAGAACATAAAACAGATTGGGTGGGGAATGGGTGAATGTCTACTTCAAAATATCAGGCTGTGGGAACCAGCAGTTAGTGTAATGGCTATGTCGCTGGACTCCCACGTAGTCAACTGTGGTTCGTGTCCCGGACCCGGTGGCTTAAAACTCACACCGGGCGCGTGTGCGTGCGTGCCCAAGATCCCGAGAGGAGAATGGAGAAGAAGGGATTGCGGCGTGACCATCCCCCCTGGGGGGTGAGTTCTCGCTTTCTGTCTCTATGTCTCTCTCTGTCTGTCTGGCGAGCGCACGCGCCCTACAGTGAAAATCTCTAAAAAAATAAATAAATAAATAAAATCAGGCTGTGACCTAGTATGGAGCTTAGCTTTAGATTCAGAATTTTAGTAATTCAAATATATGAATACCTTCATGGAAATGAGAACTGCATATTAATAAGCATTACCCTCCCTGCATCTGCAT